GTTGTGAGAGCCTGGTCCGGTGAGAACCCGGCGTGCTCCGTCCCGGCTTTGTAGGGATGGGAGGTCAATGGTCTAACGACTACGGCATGCACGACTATGACTACCCCCGCCCCCCACGCGGACGGATGGGATAGTCAACGAGTCCATGCTGTTAGGGGGTGAAGGGAATGATCCAGTTGATGGTGCTGCTGTACAACTGGGTGCGAAGACGAGTATGCGCCAAGCAGATGAAGGGGTGTTGTGAACTTTTGTTGGGAAGGGAGACAAGACTTACCCACAGGGAAACTACTTGGAAACATCTGATCCCTGCAGATCGAGAGGGTTATATCCCTGGTGATCCGTAGGACATGCATATATATATATTGATCGGTATAATTTTTCCGGAGGTGATCTGAAGGACATGTAGGTGATCAGGGTATGTGGTCGCCATGGTGAGCCACCATGCATGGTGATCTGAATGAAGGACATAGGTTATAAGGGTAGTTTGCCCGAGGTGACCTGAAAGACATGGGCGATCGGGGTATGTTTCCCAGAAGAGATGATCTGAAGGGCATACATACCGGATAGGTGGCATAGCTACCACACCCACAGAGGATTTGACAACTCTACTGAAAACGTACAGAAACCCGTGTGATGTTCTTTTTATCCGTGGAAGACAAACCAACATTATAACATTGTCACAAAAGATACCACACCTGCGCCCCCAAAGTTGAACATATAATATGGCTTGGTGTCTTGTTGTGGCTTCTCTGGGTCGTGAGGACAAAAGCGTTTCTCCGACACTGCTGGTGCTGGTGCAGCCGTCAAGGATAACCGGGAGGCCCGGCGGTCGTCTAGCAACTCGCCCGGGTGTGTGTGTGCTCAATGTCATGCATGCCGTAGTCGCTAGACCATTGACGTCGCATCCCTACAAAGCCGGGACGGAGCACGCCGGGTTCTCACCGGACCAGGCTCTCACATCACCANGCATCTTGTGCTTACTTCCTTACGTACGACTAACAGCTGCAAATTAACTTATTGTTTTTTCTGGTGCTTTCACTTCCAGAGACCGTTATGAGCACTGTGTAGCTGCCTCGAGGGTGCTTGACCAATTTTAACACAACGTGGTGCGATCATTCCCTTCGCGCGGTGTGAGGGTGCTCGACCCCGCACAAAACAATCAATTGAGTACGGATATTAGAAGGTACTCAGCAGAGATTGCTAATAATAAAATATATGAAATTTGTTTTTGTCGTGGGTATGTTTTTGTTTTTCAGTTTTGGGGACGCAACAATATCTCGACCACCATTCATTCTGGTAACGCGGGGGGGGGTACTTTCGTAAAACCTAGTTTTTTGTACATGCCGTTACGGCAGGCAGGCTTCGGGCCCCATCATGCTGGCCTCGACGCTTCTCGAGTGCGAGACGCCGTGCCTCTCTCCATGCAGCGCGTGCACATGACCTCTTCTCTATGCCGCTCGTTGCTCTGAACTTAACAGCGTGTGAGAGCACACGCACGCTAGACGTGCGCGATACACAGCAGTCAGCACAGCAGTCAGCACCGTTTTTTTTTTGTTGGGGTCTCCGCATCACCACCACCACCCCGCCTTGCCGCCGTTTTGTTCGACACAGGTGCTGGCCGAGCCTTGCAACGAGGTCGTGTGCGGCTACTGGTGGAAGAACTACCTCTCTGGCGAGAACGGTAACGCCTGGTTTGCCTCTTGGTGAGAGGTATTGGATAAAGGCTGACCATTTGACTACGTGCAAAGGCTGACCATTTGACTACGTGCACAGTCATCGATGACTGTGCACGTAGTCAAATGGTCAGCCTTTATCTAATAAGAGGGCCATCCTTTGCTCGGAGTTTTTTTGTGTTTGTCAGTATGACCCAATGAATCCATCTATCTACCGAAGGAAAGAGTCTAGATCAGAGTGTGGGCTACCTCGGACCGATGGAAGGGGTTGAACCTTCGCTCAACTGTAGGGACAGAGGAGACTTCCGGAGCGATCGGTGGGGACGTGGGGAGTGGGGACCGCTGGTGACAGACAGCGGGACAGAGTAGTCTCCCTAGGAAGAGCCAGTGGTGGTCTCTGGGAAGAGAGGGAAAGGAAAAGAGAAGTGAGAGACGAGGGGGGAGGCGAGGTGTTCACAGCACACCGATCCTCAGCCCTGTCGACGCAGAACCAGCCTGACGTGGCGCAGTCTGCGCTGGCGCGGTGA